ACTTATAAGAATCCATCTCCATTAAGTAATTTAGTAAGAATTGGTGTTCCGAGACGTATTTTTATTGCTAAACGTGATGACTCCGCAGTATTCTAACTGTCAGGAAGGCAAGAGGGAGTATCTACTTATAACTTTCTTAATCGGTGTGTGTGGTAATAAGGGTTAGGTACGTAACTTTCAAAGAGGGTAAAGATAGCGGGCTCCTCAAAGAGGTTTCATAGTATTCAATGTAATTCTAAACGAAGATAGAAATGAAAAAAAATAGGACAAATTATTTTTGGCTTACTTTGGCTTTCTTAAAAGAATTATGCATATATGATAAAAGAATAAAACAATCATGAATCGAATTTTTGCGGAATTTTTTTTTTAAGAAGTCTGATGTTTATTTATTTGTATCGAAGACTTAATGTTAAACTTGTTTTTTTTTAAATAACTGCGATTCAAAAACCTTGAAATATCATCTGTGCAGCAAAAGGCAAGGACATTGGGTGTTTGTCTTTCCTGAATACGTGACTCTCACGGGGAGGGGCAAAATAAAAATCAATGAATTTAACAAAAATAAGATTTGTTTTTGTTGTAGCGAGGTAACTAGAGTTTGCTCAACTTGAAAAGATGATATTTGTTCTTCAGTTCGATTCAATCACCATCACGTTTTCTGGTCAACAAATTGAAACTACATGCACTGCACTGATTCTTCCGTTGATTAAGGACATGAAATCAATAGTCTAAATTACAAAATATGCTTCCGGTCTATTTGTTTTTTTTTTTTTAATTTTGTCAAGTATGCCTATCAGATCGTTATTATACCTTAAGAAAACTGATTAGACCTCTTAAAGACATATCTTTGCTGAATTTAATTAACAAGTGGATTAAAAAATAAATAGTTTATTGATTTTTTTTCTTAAACGATTTTTTGATATCGATTGCACATAATGACATAACATATAGGGTAAGTAATCGTGTTAAAAAATCCAGACGTGTAAATTCACAAACTGTTAGACTGAAAATTGTTAGTTTGAATTTCTACAGTTGTAAATTGTTGATCTTAAACTTTAATCTCGTGTAATAATACCGTGTAATACATGTAATTCAAACTATAAAAATTGCAATCGTAAGCTTGATGTTCGGTAAGTAATGCAAATTGCAATCTAAAATTAAGAAAAGCCAAAGAAGCAGTTTCTTTATATCTTGAATCCCTCAAATATTCCCTGTTAACCTCAACAGGTCTTACGTCTTTGTACTCATGGACATATCACCTCAGCATACTCTTTTTAGGGCTGTTCAAAAGACACTGATGAATAGCGCTCCCCATGACCAAACTTAACTTGTAAATTCTTCTTGATTGTTTTCTTGCGTTTTTGGAATAAAATATCTCACAATGACTGAGATCTACGAACACAAAGAATGGTTAAGCTCTGTAAACGTTCCTTTCTTCATAATTCCCTTTACATTTCCGTGCTTATTTGCGGCAGCGTTGTCAGACGCAAAAAATTAACTCGGGTACCGGTTTTTGGTCTCCCCTCACAAAAAAGCTGCATAAAAAACTACCATTGATGGTTCTTCCTTGGGTGCAGGTTTGTGTACTGTCGGACCTTTTGACTAAAGAGAAAACCTGTATTAGACATATTTGGAGCTCTGGCTTCTCTTTGCAATAATAAGGCTACAGCTTCCTCTCTGATTCCACATTCTTCCTTTTTGGTTATAAAAAGTGCACCGTTGTTTTGACACCCATCACCTTACCTTATCATACCATCTTCTGCAATAATTTATTTTTTTATAGACCATTGGCACATTTAACGCATGTTTCTTCTTAGGCATTTCTAAGGAAATTAGGCACCCATCAGATATAGAAATATTTTTTAGATCCATATTTCCTTTATCAAAACTCTATAAACCGTGACGATGAAATGTTAAGGGTCTAATCAACGTCTTTCACGGCAAATCTATCATTTACAGATATCATATTGCTCACAGAATCGACACTTTTTGGTGTCCCTTCAGATTTTGATCGACCAGTTCATTGGCGAAATTGTAACACTCCATTTCTATTTTTGGATTTCTTAATCCATCTGAACACTATACAGTGTTAAAGGCTTGTCTTTCCAGATAACAAAACCAAATCTTTCGTTTTGGTTTTTCTGTGATTTTTGTAACGAAGCGCAGTTTATACATCCGCCCTCATTTTCATCTTCTTAGCAGAGACAATTTTTAAACAGTTTTCAACTCAGTATAGTGACCATGCTTTCTTTCAAAGTGAATTTCTTTGCGAAGACCATAGGTTTTCGGTTTTTGGTAATTATGAGTAAAATAGTACATTTCAACTGTGAAAAAATAAAATTAAGTGCTTGTATACTGTAAAATCACATATTTTCGTGGTTTTTGGGAAAAACTATGAGTTCGCACGGATTTGATTTCGTGGATGAAGAATTGCTGGTTAGTTATGTATATAACATTTTACATTTCGTGTAGGATATGAATCCGTGGGTCTCTTCATACCTCAAAACAACGAAAATTAAGTCCCCACGAAAATAACTAATTTCACAGTATTTATAATGATAAATTGTATGTTGCATTACTTATTGAATGACCCTCGTATGATGTCAAAATTCGACAAATATGTTTACTCGACACTTGTAGTTTTGTTTTGTTTTTGTCAGATGTCATTTTTATTGTCGTACGTATGTATACAATATGGACCCACAGACGGAAACATATCAAATTCAAACTGATTAATGTTTGAATTTTCACAATGAAGTACTCAAATTGTGGCCATCTAAAGCATTTACATTGATGATGTAAATTATAACAAGGAAACGTGAAGAATTTAAGGTACAGTGTTCGATTGATTGATTATTATTGTTTTACGCCGAGTCGGCAATATTTCAGCCATATTTCGGCGGTAGAGTTCGACATAAGAGTTTAAGATCAGATTTCACTTTAGCACACCTGTAGAGATACAAATATACAATTTTCAATCTAATAAATACTTAATTTACACTTCTGGATTTTTTAACATGATTATTAACCACAATGAAGATGGAATTGACGGAGGAATTACATGTTTTGGAGAAAATATATAGACTCGTTATTTTTTGGAAATTCAGTAAGGGGGTGTATATCCTTGCTTCGGGTGTCTGTAGACAACCTCTCGGGCCTTTCCAACCCATGGAAATGGAACTGGAAATGCTCCAGTTGATCCGATGGGGTCTTAACTCGTTGATGATGAGCAAATAATTAACCTGGACATAATTTACAAACAACTGGTCAAGTTTTTTGTCATAGAAACCCGTCTGAAAATTACGTGTACTGAGGTCGCTGTACATGTACATTGCTCTTTAAATTCTCTGACCGCGATTGTACTTTAAGAATCATACACGATCATAATACATTATTCTTAAAAACGACGAGTAGATTGATTTCATGCATGTGTTTTAACTGCTTTGCTCTTATTTAAAACTGATTCACATTGTGAAAATGTATATACAATTTTTTTTCAATATGAAAGTCACAGTAAAGCTAGATCATTTATTTCTAAGACAGGTATTTTAAACATGGATATCAGAGCCAGTTTTTAATTGAATGTAAATTTATAATATGTTCTAAATGGTTGCAAATGTTTCTCAGTCAGCAACTTTATTTTGTCTCTGAAGTCATATGTTGCTTGAATTTGAACACAATTTGAAAAATCTGTTGCCCTAGAAAGATGGTTCTCATCTGAGCGCCTTATGTTCCAATCCAATGCACTTCTATTGGGCAATTTTCTGTTTGCATACTTTAGTTTAACAATATCTATAATAACTTTATTATTAGCTCTAGATATTCATACTCGGAGAATATTTTCTGCTAATATATGCTAGGAATATTAAATATAGGTTTCAATTAATATTTTAAAAATAAATTTTACACATTTTAAACCTGGAAGTTAAAACTCAAGAGACTTTGATTTACATCTTTCGCCTAAAAAGCGCCCATATCTTAAAACTTACATCACTGACCTCTTCTTTTAATATTTTGAATTACACGAAACTTTCAACCGATCGTGAAAATCTTGATACAAGAAAATATTTTATTGCCTATTTATATTGAAATTACACAAATATTTTTAGTGCAAAAAAGTCATGCAAGAATTTACTTGCATTAATTTGCAGGATTTCTTTTTCAATAAGAAATATTGTTTAATATATTTAACATAAAATAAGATTATATTTATTGCCAGGATTATGTTTGGTAAAATATAATTAAAGTTAAAGTGATTAATCTAAAAGTTACAGTTTAAATACAAAAAAGGTGAAGTTAACTGTACCTTTGCTCAGTAAGATGACCCCTAATGTTCTTTGCGATTTTGAGTTATTCTTTATGAGTACTTATCTAAAATAGACTTCTTAAAAAATCTCAAAAAGAGTATTGCTCGAAAAATGTCTTTCACGTACCTGTACCTATGGTCCTATAGTGTAGAAGACTCTGAGTTCATGATTATCACCGTTTCCATTTTTCTCGTTTCTACATTTGTACGCATGGTGAAAGTAAATACCTATTTTCATACTTCATTATCTTGTTCATTACTCCTTTTAACCCACAATTTCAATTATTTTGTAATTTGAGGAAAGAATTCAAGGTGTAGATATTAGGCAAATGAATCAAATTTAGGAATTCTGCATTTTGAAGTTTTTTTTTTAAATTGTGTATTGGCCATCCCAGTTTATCATTCTGTCTTCTTTTAGCAATTATATCTGTGATGAACTGCTGTTGTTTTCACTTTGGAAATAAAGCATTTGTTAATTTAACAGGACGAATAAACTCTGAAAATAGCAATTTTATTCAATGGATAAATTTCAAGTATACACGGTTGAAAATGTAATAACTTTTAATCTTAAAAAATGCAGCAATTGGTAATTTTTATTCAGTTGGCTTAACAAATAAAGACAGATTTATTTATTAGTGATACTAAAACGTATCACTTTTCTTTTATTACAAATTCCATCATGACATTCATCATGTATTCAATATTTATATCCAACAGGTTGCCACGATTTCGTTGTATTAGCCAGATTCTCGTAATCTAAATTTAGATATCCTAATTTGGAATAAAGGAATGAACAATGATCGTCAATAGTTTGTATAACATTACGAGGTATTGTTGATATCCACCGGTATGCATTTATCACTGAATTTCCCCTGTTAGTACAGTAGTCACACAATCGAACGGGACCCTTCATAATCTGCGTGACGTAGTCCTTTACACTTTTTGTATATTTGATCTCCAAGAAATTATATATTTTTTGCACAATGATTAATGGGTTTTGGCACAAGTTTTCATAGATAACACTCATTATTCTGTCTTTATGACAGTATTGTGCCACCTCAAACGCTGACAAGTCTAGCGAAATACGACTACACAATTCCTTAGCAGACACCGATAGATTACCTTCATTAACAAGCTGTGTAAACTGCGATTGCAATGTACCTCGTGGGTCTCGTATAAGGTGAATAATTTTCAGTTTTGGAAGCCATTCCAAAAGTTTTCCCGCCATGAATACGGACAGTCTTATTGTTTTTATGGTGCGTGTCCCAGATCCAACACATCTGTCGCGTAACATCCATATACAAGTTCGCACAATTTCAATTTTACTTAATGTGGTGTTACTTGGATTGATGCATCTGTAATAATTTCCTAGTTCTGGGGTATGTTCTGCGATGAAACGATTAGTTAAAGCCGTCATGTCAATGTGACCAAAGTTGCATGTAAACCAGTTGTAAAGTAATTCTGCATAGACGGTTTCAAGTTCCTCCCTGGAAATCGTTCTGGAAATTAATAAAACAGTAATCTAAAATTAAACGCTTAAATGTTCACATTATCTTAAAACTACAACACTGATAAAATATCGGCGATGTCCTGCAACTTAGTGTTGGACACTAAATAACCGCCGCTATTTCATCCATTTTTTTAGCAGAGACATTCAAGAAATAACAGTTTTATAGAGTTCCTGCTCTTTGTCCGTTGATATTGAACTGAGTTTTCGTCGAGTAGTTGTATTCTGATGAATTATAAATCGCGTGAGAGATAATGCTAAAAAACTCTTTTGAGATGGTCGTTTATTCGTCATCTACGTTGAGACACTTATAATTATAATGTCCATTATCGAAAGACTTCAAATGATTACAGGCGATACTGTTCCAACAAATAGATGGAACTTGCTGTACACACACACACACACACACACACACCCTCACACACACACACACACACCCACAGAGAGAGAGAGAGAGAGAGAGAGAGAGAGAGAGAGAGAGAGAGAGAGAGAGAGAATGCTATCTTGATTCTAATATCCTAATTACTACAAACAACTAGTCACCGTTTTGTTCCATTTAGAAACTGTATTGCAGATTTTCCATTCACAGCTTGTGTTATGCCATGTAATGGTTCAAACATGTAGAAGTCGCCATCAATATGACGGACGAGATCAGCAGTTAGAGTAGATCCGCTCCTCATGTAAGCCACTATCAGCCGCATTGGCGTGTTGATATTGTTACTGTCTGCATACAAAGATACTCAAATTATAATATCACTGGGCAGAATGTGTGATGAGACACTATGCAACGCTATATATTTCCTCGAGAAAGAATGTATGACAATAAGAAACCATGATGTAGGACATCATGTATAGATAAAAAGCAGGAAAAAAATCAAAGACACATTCTTGTAGTCGCCAGTTTATAGTATTTGTGTTAAATGTAATGTGAACAAATTTCTTTCTTCTGAAACCAAAACTGCAAATGTTTTAGGAGCATGTGCCATATTTACATAAAGTATTTTATGTATTTTAAGGATGAAAAAAATTGTTAAACCTTTTCTGTGGTAGGGTTTTTCAAAAATATTTCTGATCAAAGGTGGATGAATTTGAAAGTATCGATATACAAGTATAAATATATCAAAAGATTCTTAGAGCACAAGAAAAAGAACAAGATACATGGATTCTTCTGGTAAAAACTCTTTGTTATAATCTTAATAATCGTTATAATCCTGTTTTACCAATTTAGCTTTAGCAGAATGTAGTCACTGAAATACACCAATTCTTTTTTCTCCTTTAACGGATTTTAATTTGTTTCCTTTGTATTTATGTTAACAAAATACCTGATAGATGTACAGGCTTTGTTTCTGACGAACAGTACACAGGTCCAATTCGTAAGCTCTTGATTATGGTGACTAGATCTTTTTCTAAAATTAGATATGAATGCGCATGAAAAGTCTGGATAAGAAACGTAAAATAAAAATATGAATTTATAATTGATGGTGGTGTCCAACGCCCTTTTAAATCATTTATATTCAATAAATTTGAAAAGAGTTGGATAACTTGCTATATAAAAAGACTTAGAGAAGGCCAATAACAAAACACTGCACAAAATGGGGGCTTGGGGTGGTAGGGAATTGGCTTAAACTTCATACTGTATGCTTTATTTTTGATAATAATACAAAGCTTTTCTAAATTTTTAGGTTTAAACTCAGAATACGCTTTAGAAGGCTTATTATCCTGATTAAAGACAAAAGATGTGATAGAAATTGATAGGAAAATTGTTTCGTCTACATCGTAGAGAAATTGATTCAAGTCAAGAAAGTATTCATATGTGTATCTGAAAACAATCCAAAAGATTGCAAGGTTAACTCTACAAGATAGAATATTTAAAATCTATCAAGAATTATTTTGGGTAAATCCAAATTTCATTCTGTTTATTGAATATAAGACACACAGAGAATACATTCGGCTTTCAAAAGGGGGAGGGACATCTAAATATTGAGAAAAGAAAAATAATTGAATTAAAAGCTTTGAATATCTCACCTAAAAAGAAAAAACAAAGCAAAAGAAAGAAACAAAAAAAAAAAAAAAAAAAAAAAAAAAAAAAAAACAACCCAAAGAAACAAACAGAACAAGACAAAACAAACAAATAAGATCAGCCTATACTTCTTAAACTATTTTCGGAGTCGGATGGGGTTTTTAGGCTATTCTCGTTTTCAACCGGCCTTTGGATGAAAAATTCCATACTAAATAAACAGCAAAAGACTGTTCTCGAAAAAAATGGGTCGGAACTCCTATGTTGTCTCACATACTCGTTAATCACCTAGAGGTGATTGTTGAATCTGCGAGATATCTGAAGAGTTTCACTGGAGTGAAGACCTCCCTGATCCCCTCTGATATGATTTTCGATTTTTTCCTTATGTTATATGAAAGAAAGATGTGTAGTTTATTTACTGTATATGTTATAATGGTACTAGCATATTAAACACATGCAATGTCAAACTTTGTTTACAATAAAAAGTGTACCTTTTGTAACCTCTGTTTTTCATGTTTCAAACCATTTCCAATTCCACTAGAATACCTCATCACTTACAAACGAATTGAGTGTTTTAAAAAAAAAAACACGAGGTCTTAATACATAAGGTATCATTGTAGTTACAGACAGGACGAGGACATGAATATATTCATTTTTACTGGCTCACAAAATGAGAGTTGAAGGCAGAAAGGGGAGTAATTAACTGTGATCTAGATCGCTTGGACGTTTAATCGCTTGGACGTTTAAAGTTATTGAAGGGTTGATTGTATCGTACGCGTTCATCTGGAAATTAATCTTTAAAGTCCCCCTTTCCGTCAACAAGGACAGATCTTTTTTTTGATAATGACATTTTACGTGACATGGCAACACGATTTTTCATTCACAGACTCTTGTTATAGCATAGGGGGATATCCTTCCGTTATTTTTAGATAATCTTTCGAAAACTTATATTTCATGACATTGTCGTGACTCTACAAGACCACATGCTATGATAATAGCATTTTACAAAAAATCACGCTTATAGTATATAAGAAGCAACCCGACCACTCAAGATGTTGAAATGTACAATATTTGTGTTTCATCAAAATAGACAAGATCTTTTATACCGCATGACCTTGCCTTCCTTTTTTTTATTCACAAACTTTTATAATGCATATAAGGAGAACCTTGGCCTTTTTTAAAATAGAGAATTCTTTTTAAAAACGCAAATGTACGACATTGACATGAATAAGTATGCAAATAAAGTAACATATTTTTCGCGAAAGCACACTTTTAGTATATAGAAACCAACCTGACCTCTCAAGATATTTAAAATTTACAATATTGTTCGAAAATCTTTTTTCCTTGACCAAAATAGTATATCTACTTTTACCACAACTAATTAGATTCTTTATATATAAAACATAAATCTTAGAAAATTTTATCATATGTCAGCAGATAATGCATATTATAATATTTAAATATTTTATCTACTTAGATTTATAACCAATTCTATAACAAAAAGAATCTTCAGGTGAAAGATTTTCAACACAAACATTATAAACGAACCGTTTTTATATACGAGTATGTGTATTTTGTGAACAGTCAAACGTGTTGCAGAGATTTATTGATAAGATATAATAACTACCAGTAACATATGTGCACTACTTATTATTTTCCTCAAACGAAGTTAAAAACTTTTCTCTGTATTGTCATCAATTGTTCTCTGAAACTACTTATCCGATTGAGTTGAAAACTTCTTAAGGTTAATAGGCGTGATTTGTAGATGCACAGAACGATGGTCATTTTGTGCAAATAAAATGATTAATATGATTAAAATATCTTTAATAATCTTAGTATCTTTAATATTATCTTAATCTTAATATCTTTAATTAATAAGGTGAAATATAGGTATTCAAAACTAATTTATTGATTATTTTTGATTAAGTATTTGAAGTGTATTAATAATAGTAATACATTTTTTGTCTTATAGAGAAAGTATAGCGTAGGCATCACAACGTGCTTGTTTCGATGCTTAAAAATACTTAATAGTTATTTCAAAGTAGGTGATTAGTAATATCTTAATATAAATAGTGTTCAATTAACATATATTTCCTGTTGCTAATTTGTAATATTTGGTAATATTTGGTAAATGTTGGACATTTCGAAGTTTAAACATGAAATTATTTTCTGATTTTTTGTTTGCTAATCGTTGTGATGATTCTAACAACTTAAAACCAATATCAAACTTTGTTTTACATAGCCAAAACTTATAAGTGTAAAAACAAATAGGCTACTTTTTGTAAGGAAGTGCTCTTAAATGAAAAAAATTCAAATGATTACAATTTTCAATAATCAATAATTCAGCTCTAATTTGGAAATGAAACGTGGTCTTGATATATCCGGTATCAACGTTCTTCCAAAGTTGTTACGAAAAAGATCTTTGATATCAATAGACTAAATTCTGCACAAGGCCATCAATTGACATTTGATGACAGAAGAGGGAGTAACTATTCCTATATCAAAGGTGATGGAATGTTTGGCGTTTTGAAATTATGAAAGGGTTGATTATATAGAACACGTAGTCTGTATATTTACTCAAAGTCCTTATGTGCGAAATTTAATGTTTAAACTTCCCATTTCCGTTAAGTTAGAAGTGCTCTTTTGTATTGCATATGACGTGACATCACGTTTTTACATTCACGAACTTTTTAAATAGAATATGTTCATTTGTCGTGAATGTGCAAGAACCAATTGCAGTGAAAATAACGGTAACATTTAAACATATGCTTTTAGAATATAGAAAGCAACCCGACCTCTCAAAATAATAAATTTACAATATTTGTGTATTATATTCGAATGCATGTAACTCACAAAGTGAAAAAAAATTATTTGGTTTTTTTGTTGACAGGTCAAATATTTTTTGTCTAAAATATAAATTTGATAGTTTTTTTTTATATGTTAGGGAAATGACACACACATATATTTTATATACATGTATTTTTCTTCTAGTGCATGTAACCTGGGTTTTTGTTGTTGTTGTTTTACAGAGAATCTTTAGGAAACAAGCTTTTAAGAGATTATCAGCTTACAGTTTTTTTTTTATATGTGTTTATCTTTGTGAGTATCTCAAACATGTCGCCTACTGACGTGACCTCGTATCTGTCACTTACATATGTGCATTTCACCGTTCACGGTAGCTCAGTCGGTAGAGCGCTCGCTCCGTGATCGGGAAGTCGTGAGTTCGAATCTCGGCCGCGACTGACCTAAGTCGATAAAAAATGGGTAGCAACTGTTCCTTCGCCATGCGCTCGGCACTTTGAAGTGAAAGTTGCGGGTCCATCGGATGAGACCTTAAAAACCGAGGCCCCGTGTCACGGCAGACGTTGGCACGATAAAGATCCCTCACTGCTCAATGGCCCTGAGTGCCGAGTAAAGGTCAAAATTTGAAGCCCTTCACAGGTATATGGTGACGTCTCTATATGAGTGAAAAATTCTCGAATGGGATGTATAACAATATTCAATCAATCAATCAATCATATGTGCATTTCTTATTATCAATATCATTTAAAGAATGTTGTATTAATGGAAATGGTTTATGGTTCATGTATTTCAGTAAATTAATCATACACTATGGATCACTCTTGAATTTATATAATTTAGGATTCAGAGTCTTGCCATATTTGAAGTGCATCAGTGATAGAAATATAAAATATTCTATTCTATATATGGTATAGCATAAGCATCATGATTTGTTTATTTAAATACTTAATCTAATAAGAATTTCAGAATAGGTAAATAGTAATATATTACTATAGGTGGTCTAAGAGTGTTTGATAAATAGATATTTTACTAGGTACTTTTCACTTGAATTTATTTGAATTTATTTCAGAAATAATAATTCACACAAAAACTGAATAATCTTTTTGATTCTTCCTTAAGCCTCACACATATTCACAAATAATACTTACTGTCTGACATTATAAGTACATCGTGAATTGTCGTATAAATAACAGGATTCAGAGAAATTCATTTTGTCTTTATATTTTTCATTATCTTTGAAAACTGTATTTGCAATGCATTGAACTACTGAAGAAATTTCAATCTTTTATTCCCTAACTTGGTTTTTTTACTAGTCAAAATTGAATCATAATTGAAAATTGTTATGGCAGGCAGGTTATATATGATCAAGATTTAGTTAACGTTCCATTATCATTTGAAATTTAACCCCTTTTTAGAATATAACATTTTTTTTGAGTAATTCAATGACAATCTGTTATGTTTTTCCAATAGAAAAGTTACATAATTATTTGAAATAAACCCTTTTCATAATATGACATATGTTTAATTCAGTAATAATAATAATAATAATTTTTAGTTTGAATTTCTACACAATGCAATTAAATTCAC